ACGTACCATGTTGAGTTAAAGCGTTCGAACATTTTCGGAACAATTTTACCATCCAAAGGCAACAAAAAAGTATTGCTATACTGTGTTTTCAAGTAGTGGCATTGATTTGTATCTTTGCTAGGCCCGAAAGACTTCTTCAGACCCTTAAATCTCTATCTTTATCTCACCGCTGCAGGTTGTGTAACGAGAATAGAATATGCCTGCTGCTATCATCTCTTTGTTCGTAAGAGGCGAATAATGTTAGAAGCCTAGCAGAATTTAAATTTGCTTGTGTTTAGGAATTTCGGGGCACGGGAGCGATCAAATAAGCCTGCGGCACCCATTGCAATATTCAGGATCCTTGTATTTACCACCTTGTTGAATTACTTTTTGTAGGGTATTTTCAAGTAGGTCTAAAATCAAATATGGCCGCCATGGCGTCATAGGTAAAAAATTAAAAATGACCATAACTCAAAAACTAATTATTATACAGCATTCATCTCGCTGTTGGGTCAAAGGTCACCAATTTTTAGACTTTTTTTATTTTCAAGCCTTTTGACAATATTTTAAAACCATTTTGTTCTGATGTTCTGCAATGCAGATTTCATCCAGTGTATGTAATTATATTTACCCAGACTACCTTTTGATAACTTTTGTTTTGATCCCAAATCCAAGATGACCGCCATGACGTCATATCCGTTTTTTCCTAATTGAAGTAACTCATAAACGAATAGAGCCATCAATTTCATATTTTGGTTCATGTATGTTATGTAGACCAACAATGCAAAACTTTTTCCGATGAAAGGTCTACTTCCGGTGTTCGGCAGGGGTGAAAGTTCAAATGCACTGTTTTCGGGTAACACACTTTACAAAGCTTGTACTCAAGTTCTTTAAGGTCTAGGGTTTTGATATTTGATATGTAAGACGCTTAGACGTTGTGCTAAAGAAATGGTTGACCTTGATCAATTATAGAGGTCACATGTCTAAAAAAGTAAATAATTCTTTAAACCAGAAATTTTCAAAAGCAGTAAAAGGCGTTTATATAATATTTTGATATGATGTGGATGATGCCAATACACATATTCTTCTCAGAAAACTTTTTGTCAAAGGTCAATTTTCGGCTTTTTCTAGGGGTCAATGTTTAAATTTGCTATTTAAAGGTAAAATCTTTCAGTAATTTTTCTCAAGTTCTAAGAGATCTAGGGTCTCATTATCTGGGCTGTAACATGCTAAGGTGATTGGCTATCAAAAATGATTGACCTTGATAAATTTTCAAGGTCACAAGGGTCAAACATGTCAAAATATTAAAATAAAACCTCCCAAATAAAGAAAAGTGTTAGATCAATGATGTTCGACAAGGAATATTGTTTAACGAAGGGCTTTAATATGTTTCAATTAGAGACCTTCGCACATACATTGAATATGATTTGAACAATTATTGTCAAAATCCATCTTCAAAATTTTACAGTTTTGAAATGGTATTAGTTATTTCAGAACTTTGGTTTGTATTAAACGAAAAATAACGCTTCCTTTCAATACTATGGTTTGTATTATCCTTTTCTTCATACGAGGTTAAGACCATAATGTTTCAAAATAGGTGTGATCAAAGACCAACTCAGTCCTAACAGTGAAAAGCCCGTCAAATTGTTAGCCAACAATTCCTTGTAGTATTTCTATTATTGTATATTTTAGCTGTGGTCTATTTTGTCATTGTGCGTTTACCTGGTAGTGTATTTAGTGCTGACGTTAACGTTATGGTTTATTTTATCCTTGTGTGTTGACACTGTGTTATATATTGGCCTTGTGAGTTAACACTCGATATATGTTTCGCTTGTGTGTTGACACTGTGGTATATATATTGGCCTTGTGAGTTTACATTCGATATATACTTCGCTTGTGTGTTGACACTGGTATATTTTGTCATGAGCTCACGCTCGATATATGCTTCGCTTGCGTGTTGACACTGTGGTATATATATTGGCCTTGTGAGTTTACACTCGATATATGCTTCGCTTGTGTGTTGACACTTTGGTATATTTTGTTCTTGTGAGTTCACGCTCGATATGTGCTTCGCTTGTGTTGAAACTGTGGTATATTTTGTCCTTGTAAATTGACATTGTAGCATATATTGCTTTCTTTTTCACCACATCAGACGGAACAGTTTATTGTATAAAGCACCGCAGAAAACGGGAGACAATATCCGTTTTTAAAATCATTGGTGCATCAAGTATGACTGACTTGGTGTGTTACACGACCATTGTTGTGGTATGGGTTTTGATGTCTTCCGTCTGTCGTGAATATTCAGCGGTAGACAGTAGGATGGTTTCATTACTACAAGTGTCAATAAAAAATCTTTATGTACAGGGTTGCATGATCATACACATTGTATACAATTTTGTCAACTCAAACTGCAATAGCTAATTACAGACAACGCCGTCAGGGTCGATACATATGCACTATTTCCGTCGTATGCTCACACTTTGTATGCAAACGACACAAGCAATTCAGCTATATAAAAAAAATGATGAAAAGATATCCACATGAAAAGATATTTCGCCTATTGAATTAATTGTTCTCAGCAGAAAATTCAATATATATAAAGTCTCTGTAGTAAGACGTCCATCTTTTACAGTGTTCTACTGGTCCCATTTCCAGGATGACCAGACTTGCCTCATTCGAATCACGTGTGTGGGATATTATGGTGCTCTACTGCAAAACCAGACAATGAGGTGCTACAATTTTGCATGCCAAATATTTGCGCGGTAAACATGTCACAATCAACTAAGAAATATTTATATTTAACATTTCTAAGTGGTTACATATATATTTGAAGATTGATTATCTAAATTTATTAACTCATTCAAAATATAATAAAATATCTAACACATATTGGGGCAGCTGTATTAAAGTTCTCGAGATGTCATTTTGGACCCGCGACATCTCCCACAAGTCAAATTGTTACTGGTGTACGAGTCCCTGAAACCACAGCAAATGTTCTCACAGCCGACACTGGTATTCAGTAGGGGTTTATTTAAACTGAACCTTGAAGATGTTTTGCCTTTAAGTAACAATAATTTCGATAAATATACCACTTTTCGTCAGTTTCATGTCTTGACATCTACATTTACCTCATCATCATTAACTCACGTGTCTTCACTTACCACCCGGGGTGAACCATATGTTGTTACAATAATGATTACTTCACTACTTAACTTTAAGACAAACGTGACCATTAATATATTCGGAATGAGATTCATCAGTTTAGTATGAATACTGAATGCTAAGTTTGTTTTGAACACAAACTTGTTTTGCGACCTTTCGAAAACATCTTTCCTTTGTCAAGCAAAGAGTAAACGTATGTTCCCTCTGTCGAACAGTGCAGTTTTGCACTCTTTGCTTGGCAAAGAAGACATTAACTATGACGATTAAGATTTTATAATTTCATCTCCTTCCTTTTGCAGTGACATATAAAAGCCTACCCTGGCCTGCTGATTGAAATCACAGTTCAAAGTTAATTGGCAACACCACAGCCTATCCTAAACTATCAGGATTTCCGAAAAGATGGTTCCTGTTGACCAATAAAATTTAAAAGCTAGTCTAGTTCAGAATGGCTTCAATATCCAGTGAAGAAATTTTACATCATCATTATCGCCTTATTCACAAATATTGGATTCAATGTATATCATATAATAAGACGTGTCCACTTTGTTTAAGATTGCTGGTGACCTACAATCTCTACAGAGTTGTCGTTACCTAGACTCACATACACAGGTGTATGTCAATGTTAGGAACGACAACTCTGGGTAGAGATTGGCTGAATCGGATAGGAGACACCACAATGGGTGCCACATGTGGTATACTACCGTAGCATCAGAGGTCTCCTCTAGTCATTGAGTGTAGGTGTCCGAAGTCTCCTCCAGTCATTGAGTGTAGGTGTCCGAAGTTTCCTCTAGTCATTGAGTGTAGGTCTCCGAAGTCTCCTCCAGTCATTGTGTGTAGGTGTCCGAAGTCTCCTCTTGTCATTGAGTGTAGGTGTCCGAATCTCCTCCAGTGATTGAGTGTAGGTGTCCGAAGTCCCCTCTAGTCATTGAGTGTAGGTGCCCGAAGTCTCCTCCAGTCATTGAGTGTAGGTCTCCGAAGTCTCCTCCAGTCATTGAGGGTAGGTGTCCGAAGTCTCCTCCAGGCATTGAGTGTAGGTGTCTGAAGTCTCCTCTAGTCATTGAGTGTAGGTGTCCGAAGTCTCCTCTAGTCACTGAGTGTAGGTGTCCGAAGTCTCCTCCAGTCATTGAGTGTAGGTGTCTGAAGTCTCCTCTAGTCATTGAGTGTAGGTGTCCGAAGTCTCCTTCAGTCACTGATTGTAGGTGCATATTTATTGCCTTACATTTAGGTGTCTTTTCATTTCTTTTATAAAAAAATTATATTGTCGTTTGTGTTAACTCTTTAGCAAGACATCTGAGAAAAACAAAAGGCTGCAGAGGCTTTAGTTAAAGGTCAATATCATTTAATGTTATATATATATTTGTTCATGAGAATTAAATGATATCAATTCCAAGAATGAACAAAAGCTATTGAAGCTGAAAGACAAAGGCAGTTAACGTTGGTTACTGTCTGTCTCCATCATAACTTTAATATTGCCACACTCCATACAGTTGTTCACCAACACATACAAATAAAGTCAGTAACTTTACAAGCTCACATAAATCTTTCTAATTTCTTGCTAATTGAAAAGTTAATACTAATAGGATAACATAAAACATTTTGCATAGAAGTGTAGTGATGTCATACTTTCGCTTTCATCTTCTTCATTTTTTTCACATAAAAGTCCCACAAGATAATATTTTCTTTTCGGATTTGATTTATCATGCTAACATAATTGGTCCAAAGCTAAGTATTTTGGCAGTGGTACAGGGATCCTTAAAGCTATTTCTAATCTTTGTTTTCAATGTATATTTAAGGTCAGGCATGTCATTACAATTGAAGGTAAAATTTCCCTGTAAAATATCAAACACAATGCGTCATGAAACATTAACAATATTTTATTACATAATTCAAGTTTTTGCTTTAATTTTTGAAGTTGATGGTTGGTCCATTTCCTGTTCATATTCAATCTCTACTCGAGCTCGTTTCCTCTTCATCACTTTCTTTTTATGAATGGCTGCACGCTCATCCTCTGACGAACTGCTGCTGTCACTGATGTCTTGTAGTCGCTCTCCATCCTGTAATTATAACACAGTTAGCTCCCCTGTCTTTCTAACACTTATAACACTGTAGCTACCATAATCTCATCATCTAGAGCAATGGAAAAGTACCAGTTATCTCCCCTGGCTCCTAACACCCGTCACACTCATAACCAACTTGAGGTGCCAGTTATCTCCCCTTGCTCTTAAAGCCCAGTCACACCTTTATATATATATATATATATTATAAAAAAGAAAAATTCTCAATAAGTACCAATTGATTAACCTTGCTTTTAACACCAATCAATTAAATGAGACATTTTTTAAAACTTATTATGGCATCTTGTGACTTGATTTTTTTCTTGAAGCTGTATATATAGCAAAATTTTGTCAACGACAACTTTTTCAAATACTTATACAGGTATTGGTTTTGTTAAATATTGTTCAGTTTAATCATTTCAAGATTATTATTTTTTTTTTTTTTAACATACCTCCATGTCTGACAGATCACTTTCTTCAAACTCCTCTTCAGCCACATACTCCACCTCCCCAACATCCTAGGGGTAAAACAAGATTGAAATATTATATCTCTCAAAAACTATTACAAAAACTACATACCAGGTAATTGGATTGTTCGCCGGGATTACAGAATTGCCATAATTGACAGATTCACACAGTTTATTATTGAATTCAATGACCAACAAATCATCTCCGAGGTTGTATACAGCTTCTTACATATTCCTTACAACTCTAAAATCTTCTAAACAAGCAGTTCATCAATCTAACAAAATTGACATTGATAATGAATAAATCTTAATTTTCTTGACCAACTGATACATATTTCCAATATGATTATAGTTTATTTGCATTTAGCTTTTAATAAAAAAAAAATCAGTTTCTGTACCTTATCTTTTTTAAAACATGATTAATGCAGTACAGTGTATTTCTGATTTATTAATTAGATATTTATGAAAAGTGAAATATACCTCATCGTCTTCTTCTTCTTCTTCCTCTTCTAGCTCTTCTTCTCCTTCCTCATCCTTTTCTTTCTCTGTTTCAGATTCGGACTCGCTCTCTGCTTCATCATCCATTACTTTGTCGAAGGCATGTGTAGGGAAGTTGTATATATCTCCGTACTGCAAAAGTAAATCAATTGAAATTTGACCTTGTCCAATATCAAATATTAAACTCAAACTCACAGACAAGTATTATGATTAAATGGAAACCGATTTCTGACTTTACTGACTTAACTAACATGTTTAGGACACACACTGATATCAGAGAAATTTCTGAATAAAAAATATAACATAAAGTACTTTGCATGGTTTGGGCCTGTTTTGGTCCCCAAATCCATCAAAATTAAAAATCTGCAATAGAACTTTCAAACGAATGTTTCTTTAATTTTGAATACTTCCCCAGTACTATTATGTAAATATTTATTTGTGTTTTCAATTTTGGCTGCCATTGGTAACCAGGTCAGATTTGAATTAATTATTGAAATATGATTATTCAGTCAATTTTGACAAGTTTTCACCTAGTTTTTCTCTTAGCTACCAGCGCACTCTTGAACAAACTTTATATTTCTCCTAAAGATGTATTACAGGTGCCTAAACATTATCCTTTGATATTAAGTTACTGTTTGTTCAAGCATGCGCTCTATAGTTTCTAGGAGAAAAACTATGCAAAATATCCCAATATTCACTGAATATTCAAATTTTTCTAACTAATGCGAATTTGAACTTGTTACCATGGCAACAATAATTAGAAATATAAATAAATATTTTCATAATAGTATTTAGGAAGTATTCGAAATTAAAGAAACAGTCATTTCAAAGTTCATTTAAAGGTTTTGAATTTTGATGCATTTGGGGGCCAAAACAGGCCCAAACCATACATAATAGTCCTTTGTTTGTTTCTGCTGTAACACATTGATGTAGTCCGGACACATTTCTTTCAAATTAAACAAACATACTTTGTCAAAGCTTTACAATTCTTGTTTTATGGGGATCCAAATTTTAGCTACCAGGTATATTCACAACTGGAAAATTAACATGAAATAAAGACCCCACGGCTCTGTTGTATTTCTGACAGACACCTTCATTAGTTTAGGTCCATCGACTATTACCAAGTAATGGTGTTGTATTTCTGACAGACACCTCCATTAAGTTTAGGTCCATCGACTATTACCAAGTAATGGTGTTGTATTTCTGACGGACACCTTCATTTAGTTAAGGTCCATCGACTATTACCAAGTAATGGTGTTGTATTTCTGACGGACACCTTCATTTAGTTAAGGTCCATCGACTATTACCAAGTAATGGTGTTGTATTTCTGACGGACACCTTCATTTAGTTAAGGTCCATCGACTATTACCAAGTAATGGTGTTGTATTTCTGACGGACACCTTCATTTAGTTAAGGTCCATCGACTATTACCAAGTAATGGTGTTGTATTTCTGACGGACACCTTCATTTAGTTAAGGTCCATCGACTATTACCAAGTAATGGTGTTGTATTTCTGACGGACACCTTCATTAGGTTAGGTCCATCGACTATTACCAAGTAATGGTGTTGTATTTCTGACGGACACCTTCATTTAGTTTAGGTCAATAGACTATTACCAAGTAATGGTGTTGTATTTCTGACGGACACCTTCATTTAGTTAAGGTCCATCGACTATTACCAAGTAATGGTGTTGTATTTCTGACGGACACCTTCATTTAGTTAAGGTCCATCGACTATTACCAAGTAATGGTGTTGTATTTCTGACGGACACCTTCATTAGTTTAGGTCCATCGACTATTACCAAGTAATGGTGTTGTATTTCTGACGGACACCTTCATTAGTTTAGGTCCATCGACTATTACCAAGTAATGGTGTTGTATTTCTGACGGACACCTTCATTTAGTTTGGGTCCATCGACTATTAATTACCAAGTAATGGTGTTGTATTTCTGACGGACACCTTCATTTAGTTTGGGTCCATCGACTATTAATTACCAAGTAATGGTGTTGTATTTCTGACGGACACCTTCACTAGTTTAGGTCCATCGACTATTACCAAGTAATGGTGTTGCATTTCTGACGGACACCTTCATTAGTTTAGGTCCATCGACTATTACCAAGTAATGGTGATGTATTTCATTCAAACTCCACTTTGTTCTAGGATTGGAGCAAAAATATGAAAATTTGATCATGACCACACATAAGTAAAGGGTCATAAATTGCCCGCAGTACTCCCACCTTCCATTTTCTGTATTAGTATCGAAGTTAATTAGGATAAATTACTTACTGTTCCCTGCTTCAGCCTCTCTAGCAGTTCCTTCTCTATGTTGGTGTCAATCTGCGCAGCTACCAACGCTTTCTCCTAAATTTCGTAAATGATTTTCTTTTAGTTTACATTTTCCAATAATACATTTTTTTTTAATATTTCTTATATTCATCACATTCAATATTAAATCAAGAGAAGTGAAAATTTTCAAATAAATTTTCAAATTAACAGCATATTTCAATTCAACTCAACATGATGAGTTATTTTGACCCGTATTTACTACAGAGAGAATAGTCTGGGCTATAGACTGTATAAAAGTATGCAGAATTAAATCATGTTGATAAATGAAAGAGCACACACTGAGTATTATTAAACTACCTCTTTCCTTCTTTCTCTTTTCTCAACTTTTCTGCTCAAGGGTACAAGTTTGTTTCTGGAAAAGAAAACATGTTCTCTAAAGTAATGTTCAACGAATATAGCATCATATTTCAGTTTCATATCAAATAATTATAACCCACTAGTGTACTGCCATGTCCAATGGTTTGTCTATTTGCATATTTGTAATGATGAAAAGTAAATCTTTTTCAAGATATTTTTTTAACCCATACTATGCAACAAAGTAATTTTAACAAAACAGTTGTTAAGTCTAGGACTCTCACATACTTTTCCAGTGGGGTTCCACCACATTTTGTAAACACATTATAGTAATGGGACTTAGCAATCGGACTCACAAACATTTTGAAAACAACTTGTTGGAAAAAATCCTGCAAAATCATCGCAGCAAGAGGAATCATTAGTAAACACTAATTAATTTCTCTTGAACATCTTGCTGGAAGACAATTCTAGGAGAAATTTAACTGGCATGACAAACTAAATATGTAATCAACTCAATTGTTATCACTGTTTATCATTTGTATGACAATTCTACAATTCACATGTCATGGTCAACACAGTCACACAAACATACAGGTCTCCCAGGATTTCTAGTAGCGGACAGCAGTGGATCTGTGTTTTCATTCACCTACTTATATCAGATTTTTGTGTCTACCTTGCAAGTTTGTATGTAAAAATTTATACAAGTAATGTTTAAGTTAGGAAATTTGCTCCTAAAACATATATACAAATATCATATATACAAATATCATAAACCTATCATGACTAAGACAAATTAGAGTTCCTATAACTCTATTTTTCACAGATATCACTAGAAACACATCATGACTCAGACTCATTAGTGTTCCTATAACTCTCTATTTTTCACAGACATCGCTAGAAACACATCATGACTAAGACTCATTAGAGTTCCTATAACTCTCTATTTTTCACAGATATCACTAGAAACACATCATGACTAAGACTAATTAGAGTTCCTATAACTCTATTTTTCACAGACATCACTAGAAACACATCATGACTCAGACTCATTAGAGTTCCTATAACTCTATTTTTCACAGTCATCACTAGAAACACATCATGACTAAGACTCATTAGAGTTCCTATAACTCTATTTTTCACAGACATCACTAGAAACACATCATGACTAAGACTCATTAGTGTTCCTATAACTCTATTTTTCACAGTCATCACTAGAAACACATCATGACTAAGACTTATTAGAGTTCCTATAACTCTATTTTTCACAGTCATCACTAGAAACACATCATGACTAAGACTTATTAGAGTTCCTATAACTCTATTTTTCACAGTCATCACTAGAAACACATCATGTCTCAGACTCATTAGTGTTCCTATAACTCTATTTTTCACAGATATCACTAGAAACACATCATGACTAAGACTCATTAGTGTTCCTATAACTCTCTATTTTTCACAGACATCACTAGGAACACATCATGACTAAGACTCATTAGAGTTCCTATAACTCTATTTTTCACAGTCATCACTAGAAACCCATCCTTTGTCTGGCCTTTACTTACTGTCGTTTGAGTGTCAGTTTGCGGATCCTGATCAGGTACTGTGTTATCTTAGTGAATCTCTGCTTACATTTGTGTTTGACGAATCTGCAAAAAGGAAAGGAATCATCTTGAAGGAAGTTATACAGCCATTTCTTGTTTTCAAACACAAGTTACAGATATACTTGAGTGTTAAACCAATCACTAGAGTGACAGGTGGTTTGATGTGCAGTACTAACATCTAAAATTCTACTGTCTCACATAGTTTCGAAACCAACATCTTCATGTTTTCATTTGAATATAGTCTGATTACTTGGTACAATTGGATACATGTATTTAAAATAATAATGCAAACATACATTCTGTTTGATACTGTTAAACTAAAAATAGTGCACAATTGCATTAATAACTTACTTTGGCCAGTAGATCAAATTTTCATTAATCTGCTCTATCGCTTTTTCATAGCTCCTGGACAACTTCACTTTTTCCCACATACGAGCTGGAAACGCTGCCCTTTCCACCGTTTTCATGTACAGGTAACATATACCTAGACGGAACAGGTAAGTATTAAACATATACCTAGACGGACCGGAACAGGTAAGTATTAAACATATACCTAGACGGAACAGATAAGTATTAAACATATACCTAGACGGAACAGGTAAGTATTTAGTACAATTTATATAACTAAAAGGAAAACAGAAAGGTATAGTTTAAAAGCAGGTTTTACATGCATGGCGTACATTGTATGTAATTAAAAGGACAGACTAAAGGATGCAGTCACTATAAGACAGTATTGAGTTCTATTTCAAACATTTATATGTAAATTAGCTGTCAAAACAGTCATTCAGACATCCCACTTAAGACAGCAATCACATAGGGGTGCAGTGTTTACGTTAACCACATCTTTGTGTTAAAATATAGTAAAACTTTGATATAATGCCCTTTATTACATTTGCCACCTCACTTACAATGTACCACCAACTTATTTCAAGGTCCCTTTTTCTCTTTTCCTTCAGACTTATTTTATACATTTCCCATAATTTATTGCTTAACCTCTTTATGATAACAAACTTCTCTGGACTAGTGGTAGCAGTATAACCAGATTTTACTGTACACAAATCAATGGTAAGGAACTCCATTTTTCTTCAGGTTTTTTCTTCATGTATCCAAATGGTTCACCCTATCTTATTTTAGAAAGGCCAGTGCTATATAACATGCTATTTCCATTACATACTTATTAATAAAATTCTGATTGTCAGAGATGTAAAAAACATAAAACGGGCACTGAAACATCTGTCTGGGTTTTACAGCACTATTTATGTGAAAACGGCCTTCAGCCAATTAGGGAACATCAGCTTTATGGGTTGAAAAATGGAATGTAATGCTCCACTAGCAAATGACATCACATTTTAGCCTTGCCTCTGCCATCAATAAAATACTCAGCTTTTACTCTTCCAATTGTTGGAGAGATACATTTTGTACGAAAATGTAATAAACATACACTGTATCAGGGAAAATTATATACTCTTTAATAAGTATTTTAGGTATAAAATCATAATACCCTGGGTGAAAATTCCTTTTCTATGATATAATGAACACATAAACAGAATCTCATTCACTAGCTGTTGTTATTACCTTTTTCCTCTCGTACTGTTGCATACTGACTGTTGGCAAGTGGACATGATGATCTGTTACAAATTCCAGTCAAATTAAATTCATTCCTGCAAAATTTCTGTGCTTTTGTCCTGAAAATATTTAAATCAAAATCATATAATGATAATTATGTCACTCACTTAACAGACTTTTTCATCTGAAATATTCATAATAGCTCTAGAGATGGTGAAAGTCCGATCAATTTTGAAATTTTAGATATTTATAATTTTGAAACTTGACATCATATGATGGATCGATAATGTTACATTTCAAAATAAAATATCTAAAATTTGAAATAAGACATCAGCTAGGTATGAATAATAAAAGCAAAGTTTTTTTAACACAAACAGGAATCACAACCTATTTTGCGAGCTTTTTTGAAAATGTCTGCTTCCTTTGTCAAGCAAAGTCAAGAGTGTAAACGACCAGTGTCTTGGCTTTAAACTGTAGAAAACAACTCACGTTTTAACGTCATATTGTGCCGAATTCTAAGTCAGCTGTCAAACATCATTGAGGCATTTCGCCCTATCAAACTCTTATACTGCAGGCAGTCAAAGGGGAAAATTGAAGTAAGGTAACATGTTTACCCATTCCACCCCTTATATTAGTGGATATTAAAATGGGGTCATACAGATGACTCAAGATCAACTGGTGGCCCCCTTTGTCTCTGTTGATCCCCTTCCCTCCCAACCCCGAATTGGGATTCTTTGATTTTCCTGACTTTCCAGTCGTCCCATTCAAGCACTGTCGAGTTTGGTTTAGGATCAGTCAGAAACTTTATTGTTATGATCGGTCAGTTATATCAGACCAATTCTATCTATCTATCTATATGTTATACTCCACAGAGACCAAAATGGCTTTAATGCAGAGGGGATTCCATATTTTTGTGTGTGTGAAATTACTTTTTTTGGACTGTAGGATTTGAGCATCGCTGATTTTTAGAGGGGAAATGATGCAAATTTGTGACGTAACTGTTTGAGATGTTACCGTATATGGGGACGGGCGCGTCTAATTACCCAATACTACCCAATACCACCCAATACTACCCAATACCACCCAATTCTACCCAATACTACCCCATACGATCCAGTTATGAACCAAATACTTCTTTATTACTGTGAAATATCACCTTTGTAGACGTTATTTACTTCCATATGCCATATTTTATCGGGAAATATGCGATTTGGTGCCGAAAACAT